GATAATTCAATGGAAACGAAAATCCATTTTTCGGAATATATCACGTTGACGATTAATCCAATGGAACACAGTCCATTTTATCGGGATAATCAGCATAAGGTTCATCATTAGCATGATCCATGTAATATTTCGGTAGTAGTATAAGTCTATTCCTCGGTAGTCTCTTCTAATCAGTATTCATAATTCATATAATCGGTAATAGGACACGATCAGTAAAAGTCACTGGCTGGAATAATATATTGTCACAATCGAGGGAGTCATAAGTCGTGTCTACATGCTGCTTTGCGCCATTCCTGGCAGGCGCACTCAGGTGTGAATCATTGCAGACTCCAAGTAGGCCTAATCTGTTTGCCGCCATAATCACAACTGCTGACAGGCGCATCGAGATCACAACCATCCTGAGGCCCGGCCAGGACCTGCCAAGTAGATGTCACAACATGATAAGCTGCCGCAGTCTGGCTTACTGCAACGCAGGAACTCGGGGCCTGTGTAGTAATACGAGCCGGTTCAACCACAGTAGGGCCTTCATGTCAACCTGGAAAACAAAACGCAGTATCAGTTGTCATATCAGTGAGTGAATTCATAATCTGGTGTTTCTGCATAATTTCAGAGAAATATGCCATGTCTTGAAAGGGAGCAAACGTCAGACGTGGCGCTCGATGACAAGTCGCCAGCTCCTCTAGCACAATCAGTAAAGCTCACTATCAGTAGTATCAGTCTATCACAGTCAATTACTACCAGGACTGGACTAGAGTAGGTCATCAAATCTCAACCGCGCACGAGAAACTTGCTGCAGAATTTCACAAATACTTAAACAACAATCAATCAATCAAACAAACAACTCAAAAATCCCGCCGCGACTAACCAATGTAACAGCTCCGGTCTTAATCCCGAAACTGCCACGTACGGGCTGCCCAATCAATCAATTAACCAATCCTACAACAAAGCAACCCGTACAAACAAACAAACAAACTGGACCGAACGAGCAAACAAATGGTAGCGTGGTAAGCTGACCGGTCAAAGCACGTAGTGAATCGGATTTGAGCTGAAAGAGATTGATTGCTTGACTATCTGTAAAGTGCTGCCATCTATGAATAGACACAAAAGTTGGAAACACTAATTGAACAAATATGAATGAAGTTAGGAAGATATCAGAAGTTAATTATAGGGCCATTTTACTGTTATTCCATCTAAACCATCAATCAATGACTACAAACAATCAACACAACAAATCAAGTAAAGTTTTAAAGTTTAATTGTAAATAAATAATGAGATTTGGTTTTACATCAGTTTTATCTATCAAATGAAATCATAGGAAATTACATGGCAGAAAGATTACAAATGACTTAAGTAAGATGGCGGCTATATGAGCGCTTACAATTAAAACAACATCGAGCTTTAAGTAAAGCGATAGTCAAAAGGTGGCGCTGTGAAAAATCTCACCTGCGCGCTGAGCATATCAAAACTAGGCCAGATCTTCCAGCCAAAAATTACATAATTCTCTCAAAGAAAATCAATCACAGTAGATCAACTGTTACAAATAACCCAATCAAATCCAATGTCAAACTCAGATGACTCTCAAAAGTCAAAGAAAAATAAACTGAAAATGATTCACAATATTTCTACAAGTATGCTCAGCACTGCAGTGGAGTTCAAATATAAAAATACAACCTCAATCTTGCGGCCACTCTCTCCATCTCCCTGGCTGCCATGACGATTGATCAGGCCCGATCAAGTGTCGAAAAACGAATCTAAAACATCGCAATTTAAATCAAAACTTCCTCGTGGGGAAAAATATGGCGCCAACTCTCTTCTCGCGAAACTTCTCGCGAGATAAACCCTTACAAAAAGTAGTTACCTCACAAAATGCTTTACATTAAAAAACCCTTGCAAAATAGTTGTCCCGATACAAAAACTATATAGCTCAAGCAACTATTACCCTGACCCTGCAGCGGAAGTATTCGCGCTCTGGAGCGGAAGGGAAGTAGCGAGACTGGGAATAAGGTTGGCATTTGCAAGGGTAGCCAACCCAGGGTCGCTACACTAGTATCTGCATTTAAAAACAAACATTTTTAGGTGCTCGATTCTTCTAACGGATAAAGATTTCCAATTCAAAGAATTTAAGACTTTAATAGTATTTGAGCCATGAATAGAACCAGATACCAGGCAGGCTTCTCGGTAGTGGAGTCTGTCAAGAGCTTTTAGTTTCAAATGTAAAGCCTTAATGTAAATTACATCATGTACATCGCAATAATCAAAATGTGGCATGATATACGTATTATATATTATCTCTAAGTGCTTACTATTTAATAGTTTGCTCAATTTTTTCATTGGTCTTAGAAGTGAAGTAACTCTTTTTATAATCTGATCAATATGATAATTAAAGTTAAGGTGTATGTCCAAATTAAGCCCTAGGTGTTTGTGATTCTCATAACTGGAAATAACATCTGCACCTAATATCAATGGTGGTGGGTCAAAAGGAACATTTCTTCTAGAGAAAATGAGGTCGGCGCTTTTTGAGCTTTGAATTGCATTGTCCAGGCGGCAGCCCAGAGAGCAAGCTTCTCCAAAGAACTTTGAATTGGTGTGTTTTTGACATATGGGCAAAAAATGGAGGTAGGTATTATCAGCAAAATGAACGATTTTGATAGTAATTCACCTGGCAAATCATTTATATAAATTATCCAAAAATACTGATCTTACATTCTTGTTATCATCAATGTATTCATGAATATCATGAACTATATAATAAGTTTTTTTTATATTTTTTTTATAATGTTTTTATTTCAAAGAATAAGCATGTTAAAGCAATTGCAATAAACAATTACAGTACAGTTACATGATAAACCTACATTTAGCAATTTTACAATACAGTATTGGTTAAATATTTCATCTTAAGAGACGTTATACCATTGGCAATTTTTTATTTAAAGGAAAAAATCATCAGTTTCATTCGTTTAATTTTGTTTCCATAATTTTCCACTTATCGCCTCTGCCAACTCGTTTGTCCATAATAAAATATTCCTTCACATTACTTATAAAACCTTTAAGTGTTGGTTTTAGCATAGAATATTTGCACAAATAAACATACCTTTTAAAAATACATAGCATATTATTTAAGATGATTGTCTTCTCATTTATACTCTCAGGTCCTATCAATACATTTTGTTTAGTGCATAGCAATGTGAGCTCTAAAGGGAGCCATTGTTTAATGTCATTTAATACGGCACTTACAATAGTACATTCATACAGAAGATGGCAAATCGTTTCAGGATTTGCTTTACAAAAAGTGAAAATGTTTGACTCTACGAGTCCACACATTTTTAGGTATGTATTAGTTGCTAAAAATCTATGAAGGACTTTGTAAGGGAAGGATGATAACTTAGGTTCATAGTTACTCAGTTTGTTAAGTTTATTTATCTTCTTCCAATCATTTTGATTGAGTGACAAATTTAGATCTTTATTCCATCCTTCTATATATTTTAAATTCTTTTCTAAATTCTGAACAAATTCCCAGTATATTATTTTACTAATCTTTGACTGAGTAAGGAACTTTTGTACATGTGCTTTATTTCTTTCATAATCAGTGATATTCTGATTATTCTCCATGACGTCTCTTAGCCAAGATTTTGGAATAGTGTTTTTTAGACTCAAATAGTCTAAAAAATCAATATTACTGTGGAATTTGTCATTGAATTCTAAAAGCGTTAGAAGTCTTTTTGAATTTTGAAATACATCTTGTAGTACAATTACTTCATTGTAATTGACAGTACTATGTTTGGGCAGGAACCCACTCTAAAGCCTATAAATAAGATCATGTTGCACGAGGTGAGAATAAAGTATTTTATGAATTATAGATTCCAAGATTTTAGAGACTGAACTAAGAAGAGTAACTGGTCTGTAGTTAGTAACTAGTGCTCTGTCTCCTTTTTTAAATATTGGAACTATTGTACCCTCTTTCCAAATGTCAGGGAAAATGCTCTCTTGAAAAATTTTGTTAATTGAAAGTGAATCTCCTATAGAATGTGCACATAATTTGAGCATTTTATTGAATATCTCCTCAGGACCATGTGCTTTAGTGACATCACTATCATTAATAAGATGTAAAATAATATATTTTATTGAAAAGTTATATGATACGTTAGTCGCTAAACTACTACAATTCTACAGCTGCATCTACAAAAATACAGAATATAATACAATATGATGTACACTAACATATCTATCTATATAAATTTTTAAATCAACATAATAAAGCCTTAATACCTTTACAACTTATATATTTTATTGAAAAGTTACATGATACATTAGTCACTAAAAAACATACATACTACAATCTACAGCTACATCTACAAAAATACAGATTATCATACGATCTGATACACAATAATATAATTTTCAGTTACCATCAGTGTTTTGAAAATATCACAATCAATAGAATCAAATTCTGAAATCAATTCTGATTTTGAATATACATGCATTTAAACTCTCTTAATTTTCATAATTTTTAACAGCTTATGAGGAAGTGTTCTTCATCATTTCAACAATTACAAGTAGTATAATCCCCTCATTCAGAGATTAAGGGACAGGTTTACAATGTCTCCCAGTCTCAATATGTAACTCCTGTAGTGTCTATATTTTATATTGTGCAAATTGTCACTAGAAGGGTTCTCTTTAAAGGCCCACTTTGCGAATTTTCAATGTTTTTCGGCAAAATAAAGACTTTTATTTGAATTCTATAGAATGTCCAATGTATTGATAAGAACCCTATCTTTCATTTGACACCAACAACAGCTCAAACGGACCACATCAAAGCTTACAATAATTGCTCAAAAACTATTTTCAATCTGTCAAGCTTTATCTGTCAAGTTTTTATCAATGTCATTGAAAGATGGCAAAGTTGTTTGTATTACATGATACATTCATTTTTATAGCAGTGCCGCCATCTTTTAAATCAAAAGTAATTGAAAACATGCACTTTGTTTAGCATGTACATGCATGTCTTATTATCTCTAAACTTCAAATGTTTTTTTCTATGTGAGTTATTATATTTTTGGTTTAGTATTAAAGCAAATCAAACTTTGTGTCATATTTGAGCGAGTGTGTGAGTAATATGATTCAATGATCATTTTTTCTTTTTTCTTCTAAATTAAGTATAGTGGGCCTTTAAGTTAGCATTTGTATTAAGAAGCTAATTATATGGCTCTACTAATACGTAAATACCTTCTGACCTAAGTAGTGCACAGAGATCTTCGATATTTTCGTCCGCTGGTGTATAACCGGTGATTACAACAGCTTCTAACGGAGCAGTTTCCAATCTTTTAACACATGCTTGTGTATAACCGGTGATTACAACAGCTTCTAACGGAGCAGTTTCCAATCTTTTAACACATGCTTGTAATAATTCCTTAACACCCTTTGATGTAAATTTGATATTGGACCTTGGCCCATAGCATAACCAGTAAAACATATGTTGAAAACCTGACTTGCGTTCAAATCGTATGTCTAAGACCTTCAAACTGTAATTTTCTGCAATCAATGAATCTGATATTAGATCACAATTATCCGTTAGAGCATAGTTGTTAATGATCTCAACTGACTGTATCTTATTGTGTCTTAGGGATGGGACAATAATGTGACTAATTAACTCAGAGCTATTAATATTCTTAAATCTCACATTTCTCATTGACTTGCACAAACTGCTATTTAAAAATATGTTGCCTACCCTATGCATACGTCTGATCAACTCTAATTGATCACCCTCTGTTCTTCCCAAAGTTCCAACAAATGCAGCCTTTATACCAAAAGATAACATTCGCATGGCGTCATCCTGTAACAACCCATCGTTTTCTGTACACATCAATATATCTGATATCACTGTGAATATTTTTTCATCATTATTATTACTAGGTACCTGTAAAAGTCTTTTTGCATCAATTGAGCAGAATGGTTCGAAAGAAATGGATGTTTCCGACAACATCAAGATACATTGTAATACTGTCAATCCAAAGACCATCAAACAAGTCATGTACCAAGCATACACACATTGGAAACTGTATACCCAAAGTGCACATATTAGCACATGAACGAATTGTTCAATGTATATTGTTTTGGTATGAATTTCCGCTTTAAAACAAACATTCAAAATGACAAGGAAGCCAATGTTATTCCAACCATAACACGCTAGTGATATCATTAACAATACAATAGCCCATGCCATATGCATACCCATCCAAAGAACCGTAATTGACCGTTTCACCATTCCCTGCGTAAATATTTCATCTTCTACAGTTCTACTGTTACATTCCAGTTGTCTGATGTTTCCTACAATTGAACCATGTAGACAAATTATCTGACACATAACAAAACCTAAAACATACGTACAAAATCCAAATATTCCAAATGAGTACTCAGACATGGCTTTCCAAAATGTCCAATTTAAACTATCCATAAATGCCTTATTGTAGAAAGCATCAGTCTCTGGGTTTGTGGTCAATGTCGTTAACATATCCATGGTTACATCACATCTTTTTAGCCTTTCAATATTCAAGTTGTCTCTTGTCAAGCTGTCTATGCATTCGATTGACTTGCAAATCGTCAAAAGACACTGTTGAATGGCTCTTTCAGTAATTCCACAGTGTATGAGTTTTCCTTTAAAGTTCACTGCATCAAGGATACGTGTACGGTCTCTCTCTTGATTTGATGTGACAGAAGGATTGAAACAATTCTGATTGTTCACTATGTCCTGTACAGTTGGACATTTCTGCAAGATATCAATTGGGTTGATATTGATGTCATACAGGAGTTTTGCGAGCTCATTACCGTGATCATTGGTGAAATTTAACCAGGATGAGAATAGGAGGAAATAAACAGTCAGCATGACGTGTCCAAACATCCATTCCTCAAAAATGCGCACAGGCCTCATTGGAAAATAGTAGCTAAGACGACAGTACCGCAAAACGCAATCCATAGTCTGAAAGAGTATTTGATATGCTTCGATTATTTCAAGCGTGAGGGGCAAAGATAAGAATAAGACTATGCTATTTACATTACTGACAAGACGCATCAAAAATTTACAATATCAAGTTATGTAGCCATTAGTTAAAACCATAAGTGTCTTTTTACTCATTACTATTTGGGTAACAATCTTGGATAGCAACCAAGATAACCCTAATCCCTTACTAAAAACCCCAAAAATTGCTTGGCCATCTTTGGTTGCGATTCCGGAGTTGCGGTGCATCCGTGATGTTTGGGTGCTCTCCCTGAGTACTCTTTTCTACATTTCACTTTTTGCTTTAGTGAGTATTAAGAGTGTACACCCACCTTTGACATGTCCAACAAAAATACGAGGGCCAACTGACGGAAAACTGATGAGACCCAAACATGTCAAAAAGTTAATCACCTTATCAAAGAAAAAAGAAAACCCCAAAACCTCATTTTCAGCAATGATTTTATTTAGCCCAGAATCTCCTTTATCACTATATTACATCACAGAATGGTATAAAGCTGTTTACTTACTTATTAATGTGATAATAATTTCACAGCAAAATGACTTGATAATTCCTATGTCTTATTCCGGCTGTTTAATTTTTAAGGAATTAACTTCCTGGTTAAGAAGATGCAACCAATGAATGCATCAATGTATTTACCTCGGATAAGAATGTTAGTAGGTCAGCTTGAGTCTCATTAACATATTGGGTGTCGCACCACTAAATATATTTATGATAAAGAAGCTCTTTTTTACATACACTTTTTTAAATCATATGTGACTTTTTTTACATTAGCACTTGGCATAAAAAAGTCATATGTATAAATTAACTACAGTTTCCTCAAACTCCTCTTCTTAACATTGTGGTCGTAACCTGATGATGTGAACCTTTATGAAGTGTGATAGTTCAGAATAAAAAGGCCATGTTTAGTGAATCAGTCAATGAATTTGACCATGGTCTTATGTAACAAGGATCTTGAGAATGTTTTAGACCAAATTTCAGCGAAATTTTTCAACTTTTGGTTTAGCCCCCACACCATTTCCTCACATGTAAAGCTGCCATGTTATGATACTTTGAAAATTGCAGAGTGTCTATTTAATTGAGACTCATCTTCTAGCAAAGGCACTAAGGGGATTTGCATCAAATTCATCAAAAAAGTAGTATAAATGCTTTTGATATATGGCGAAGACATTGATATAGTACTTCGTTTAATATTTTTGAGAAAGTAGTTTTTTAAAATGGTGATTCCTAAGATTTTGCTAGATATTAGCAATGCTAATTTGCTCCAGGGTTTTAGCTAGATCCAGACGCTGTTAGAATCAATTTCTAGAAAACCCATGATCCTCCAAATTGCAGCCAGGAATTGCAGAGATGCAGCAGACCAGGTTATCAGCTGTCAACACAACATGTTGGGACACACTAGCTATGCACTTCCATAATAAGCATACGTGGAAATCAAAAAGAACCAAGGCTTGAATAAACGGTTCTTCTCATTTAGTGGCGTGTTACCATTATGCTCCAGCTAGTTGCTAAAGAAATATTCATGCGAAACACATTTATTATTCATTAATGCCTCAGTTATTTTGAATCAAATTTGTCGTAATGATCTTGAAAATAAATTTGATATTATAACTTTTTATTCCCATAGCTAGGACTTGTGATGCACCTTTTTTAAAGTGTCTGTACTGAAATGTCGTGGCTCTTTCAAATCTGAACTTATACTTAAACTTTTAACCTCTTTTTACTCAAATAATTTGGTATATCTAGCTTGCATAAAGATGGAAACCCGATATGATGATGATGGAAATGCAATAGCATGAAAAGGTTTAAACGATTTCGCGAAATATCCGTTTTGTTCATTTTGTCACTTTGTAAGAGTGATAAAATCAGATCATATACTGATATAAAGTCATACACTAGCACACACTGACCATACACCGACATGCAGTCACTATACACTGGCATACAATGGCCATGATGATGATCATATACTGGCATACAATTACGATACACTGATTTACAGTGACCATTCACTGGTATACAATGACCATACACTTGCTTACAGTCTCTGTGCATTGATATACGTCACTATACACTGGCATATAGTGATCATATACTGTCAAACAATCACTATACCACGGATATACAGTCACGATTCACTGGTATACAGTGACCATACACTTGCTTACAGTCACTGTGCATTGACATAAGTCACTATACACTGGCATATAGTGATCATATACTGTCAAACAATCACTATAAACAGATATACAGTCACCATTCACTGGTATACAGTGACCATACACTTGCTTACAGTCACTGTGCATTGACATAAGTCACTATACACTGGCATATAGTGATCACATACTCTCAAACAATCACTATAAACGGATACAAAGTCACCATTCACTGGTATACAGCGACCATACACTTGCTTACAATCACTGTGCATTGGCATAAGTCACTATACACTGGCATATAGTGATCATATACTGTCAAACAATCACTATAAACGGATATACGGTCACCATTCACTGGTATACAGTGACCATACACTTGCTTACATTCACTGTGCATTGGCATAAGTCACTATACACTGGCATATAATGATCATATGCTGTCAAACAATCACTATAAACGGATA